CACCGAATGAGAAGTGATTCTGAAAGCAGGTAATAGGAAGGAGAGATGATTACCAACCAGTCACCTTCACAGATGCTGCTCAAGTCCATTTGATTAACATGGAAAATAAGGATGCTTGGAAATAACAAGAGATTAAAAGGGAAATGGTAAAACAGCCAGGGTGTAGCTTCAGGGCAATTGTCTACAAACCAAAAAATAATTCACAGAGCTGAGCAAAAGACTCTTATCAAGAACATGCTGAGGCTGGGTGGGAGGACAAAAGTGACACATTATTGGATGAGCATCTGTCTATTTAGGGACATGATGCCAATGAGAAAATGAAAATGCCTTACAGTCCTGCTCATGGGGGGGGGGGCTATTTCTTTCAAGTCATTTAAAAAACTTCATCTCACCAGCAAAAGCAAAAATGGGTAAATGGAATTGCATCAAAACAAAACACTTTGGCTAGCAAGGGAAACAACAGAACAAAGGGACAACCTATGGAATTCAAGAAAATACCTGGAAACCCTGATCCCATAAGGGGATAGAACCCAAATTATATAAAGAGCTTGAATAACTCAACAGCATGAAAACAAACAGCCCTGACACACGGGCAGAGGACTAAGTCATTCAAGTGGCAATGGGTACGTGACAGTATGTCCAAAAGGCATCCACACCTCCACACTTATTTGCAACAGCCAAGATACCAAAGCAACTTAAGTGCCCATTGATGGACAAATGGGTAAAGAAAATGTGGTTCATATTTGCAATGGAATATTACTTTATCTTGAAAAAAGAATGGGATTCTCCCATTTGTGACCACATAGATGAACCTGGAGGACATTATGTAAAGTGAAATTAAGTCAGACACAGAAAGACAAATACTACATGACCTCACTATATGTAAGCTCTAGTCCAACTCACAGAAGCAGGGGTAGGACAGAATAGGGGTGGGGCTAGGAGAGGTATTGGTCAAAGCACACACAATTACAGTGAAGCAGAGAGAATAAATTCTGGATATTGAACGCTGAGCATGGGAACCACAGCAATTAGCAAAGGATTCCTGAAAACTCTTGATTGATTTTGAGTTCTTGCACAAAAAATGGCAGGCATGTATGTTAATTATTTATGTTTTATGCATTTAATTCTTCCTCTGAGTATGCAACACATCCAAATATAACAGTTGCAAACCAAAAACACTAGAAAAAAGAAATGTGACAAAGCCCCTCTCCTGACATAACACACACTGTGAGATATAGTCACCCTACTGTTTGCCCACAGGTAGAACCTACAGGAAGCAGACTGTCCAGGCTGTACCCACTCACCCCCTATAGCACGCCACTAAGAGCATTGATCAGTGTAGCATAAGAAACTTCCTGTCTTGGTGTGGTGGCATACACCGTTAGTCCCTCTGCTTGGGGGCCAGAGGAGGATCTCTGTGAGTTTGAGGCTGGCCTACATAGGGTATTCCAGGCCATCCAGGGCTACATAGTGAGACGTCTCAAAAACAGAGAACTGTGGCCAGGAGTAGTGGTGCACACTTTAATCCTTGCACCTAAGAGGCAGAGGCAGGCAGATCTCTGCGAGTTCAAGGTCAGCCTGGTATGCTGGGGTCAAGGTCAGTTCTGGGATAGCTGGGGCTACAGGGAGACCCTGTCTCAAAACAACAACAACAACAACAAAACAGAACTGCAACAATGACCAAGCCAACCATAGGCTGGGCGCGGCAGCCCTGAGAGCTGAAAGGCCAACATACCCAGCATAGAGCCGGCAGGCTCTCCTGCAGCTCACACAGCAGGATGTGTGAGGAATTGTTCTAGAAACATTGTTAAGGCTTTCTTGGAGAAGACAATAACAGCACCTACTGTTTTATAAGTTTTTTTATAAGTGCCAGACATAATTCCAAATACACAGAGAGAAAGAAGGTGTTACAACAGGAAATGCTTTGTTGAGTTATCTGATTGCCTAAGCAAAATAAAGCAACCTACCTAGGTGCCTTAAAAAGGCTTGAGATTTTCAGGCTTTACAGACAGTCCCTGATATCTGTCACCCATTATGTACCCCTTAACTGCAGGGCTGAGAACCTAGAACACAGACATACCACAGCAGCTAAAATCAGGGAAGAGGGGACCCTGTGAGCCAAGGAAGAGTCTTCCTGAGCTCAGGGTCAAGCAGTGAGGGGAAGCAGATCCCACATATCTGCATCTTTCTAACAACCACTGAGGCAAAGAGGCCTAGCCACGGACAGAAATCACACTCTGAAAATATCTGCAGGTCTCAATGAAGCAGGCTCTGTTCAATCTCTTCCAACAGGTGAGAAACAGCTTTTACTTTTAAGCTTGAAACTTCTTTTTTTTTTTAAATTTTATTATTATTATTTTTTTATGTGTATGAATGTCTTGTCTGCATGTGTGTGAGTGCACCCGTGTCATGCAGTACCCACAGAGGTCAGAAGACGGTATTTGATCTCCTGGAACTGGAGTTACAGACAGTTGTTAGCTATCATGTTGGTGCTGGGAATCGAACCTGGGTCCTCTGCAAGAGCAGTCAGTGCTCTTAACTGCTGAGCCATCTCTCCAGCCCCTTTAGCTTTAAACTCCTATGAAAATACAGAAAAAAGCTCTGGAACAACAAAGCTGAGATTTGAGCTAGGGACTAGGCATCACTAATCACTCCATAAAGATGGAAGCACTCCTTCCAGCCTCCCTTGGAAGCTTCCTCTTTGGTAAGAAATAGCATCTCATAAAGAGTATTGTTAAATTTCTGAGACACACTTAAGTAGCAAGTGTTGGCACAATGCTCTGACCAGCTCTTGAGAGCTAATTGTTAGACTTCTAGGAAGTTTGTCAGACAACTATTAAATTTTACTATTAAAAAATTACACTATATAGGGCTGGAGAGATGGCTCAGCGGTTAAGAGCACTGACTGCTCCTGCAGAGGACCCGGGTTCGAGTCCCAGCACCCACATTGTTGCTATGAACCATCCTTAACTCCAGTTCCAGGGGACTCCGAAGCCCTCTTCTGATTGTTGGCATTGAACAATATGGGTGTACTCACATACTTGCAGGCAATACACTCATACACATAAAATAAAAATATTTTTAATTACACTATATAAATTCATAATAAATCCTATCAACAACTAAGGTATTAGACACTCAAGACTCATTATCTTGCCTGGCATAGTAGTGCACGACTGAATTCTAAGCACTTGGGACACTGAGGAAGGACAGCCTCGACTATAGAGTGAGACTCTGCTTATAACAAACACATAAGCATAACAAATCTCATCAGTTCTTAATTATGTTACTATGTTTTACTGTTATCTGTGTTTTTGGAGTTACATCCATTATATATGTATGATGAATATGCTATTACTGAACTGCCAGCCCCACATTCGGTAATTCTCAAGAACAGCTTAAAACTGGCCAAGGTAGATGTATTTACAAGCAGGCTATGATCACAGGCTCTTTGCTCCCCAGAGTTGGCTGTTAGACATGTGTTGGGGGTAAGCACTGGGTGGGGCACTCATGACATTCACATGCTTACCATGTGGCACAACAAGCCATCACAAATGCTGGTATATATCCCAGGTACCTCAGAAGTGAGGAGTGTGAGGTTAAGTCAGATTAAAGGGATCCTCGTTTTGCATGTGTAGTGTTAAGGGGTGTATAACCCAGGCACATTAAGGCATTCAAAGCAGTCTTCCCCTTGGTAAAGTGAGGATAAGGCAGCAAGGAGTTATAGAGATCAGATGAACTAACACATCCGAAGTGCTTTGAAAATAAGCCATCATCTCACCACAAATAATCATTTAACGTGTCCCTCTGTTGTAAGCAAATCAGTAAAAGTAGCAACTGCCATGGAGCATCAGTGCTTACTGAGATTGTTTTTTTTTGGACTTACTGTGATCATCTCAAATCTATGCCACCATTAGTCACTCCAGAGATGCCATATGTACCCAGACCTCTAAGATACAGGCTATGTGTCAGAGCATCAACAGGAAAACACTGTACATAAGAGTGCTCTGCTGGTGTCTTGCTGAGTCTATTTTTAAGCTCTAAATAACCAGAGATGTTGCTGTCTGAGCTGCCAGAATTCATGCTAGCTTCTCCCTACTCTTGCCTTTCAAGATCATACAAAGAATTCCTTGGAAAGACAGGACGGCTCCCTGAGGGCAATCCAGAGACATCAGAAGAAGAGACATATTGGATTCAGAGACACCATCAAGATTTATAGCCCCGTGAGAGCAATACTGATCATGGTAATTGATGTTCTGTCAAGATTATTGCTCTTGACATTAAAATCAATGGCAATCAATATCCACTTACTATTTACTGTCCAATGTCCAGCCATCTTAGGAAAGAATTTTGAGCACTGATTTCTAAACAGAAGAACTGTGAAACACTCCCCCAGACCCCTGCTGTAGGTACCTGAAGCCCATGCTGAGCCTGACTGACCTCATGACTCAGTAGAGCTGTAGTCTCAAGCTCTGAAAGTTACATCCCAGAAAATGCTTCCATTTCTTCATTCCTCTATCACAAAGCTTCTGTGTTATGAGACTCAAGAATGAAAACTATTTCAGAAGTGAAAGTAAAAACAAAAACCAGTATCTCTCCTGAGAGGGACAACACAAGCCAGAGAAGTCCTTTGAAGTGAGTGGGCACAGCCTTGTTAAAAACTGGCTGGCTCAGGATGGTAAACCTTTACTGCCCCCAAGGTTCTGTCTGGATAACAAAGGAGTCCAGGGGAGGTCCCACTACCACCTCTGTGCATTTCAGAAGACTCCTACACCAGTCTCAATGCTCCTTGTTTGGGTTCATTTCTTTTTAAAGTTCTGCAACAAGAAGTGCTTTCACTTTTGGCAGCTGAGAATGAAGAATTATCAGCAAGTTTCTAATCATCCAAACCCATCTGGCAATACAACACCATTGAAATCTCCAGAAACCAAAATGCTCCAGAATGCCAAAACAAAGGCTGATCTTTCTCTTCATTTATCTCCAAATCAAAATCAAATTACCAGCAGCTCAGATGTTCCCAATACGTCTAAGGTCAGAGATTGCATCCTGGAATAATGAACCCCCAGCTCCCGGTGGATCCCTGAACACTCGATGCAAGTCAGGATGCCCAGATTGGTGGAGAGCCACGTTGGATCTGTCAAAGAGAAGAGGGCAAAAATGAGCTAAAGAGTATGCCATCAGAAGACAGTCAGGGGGTGGAAGATTTTTCCAGAGTAGTTACTGAATACCGAGTTTTGAACACAGGTAGTTTTTTTTTTTTTTTTTTTTTTTTTTTTTTTTTTTTTTTTTTTTAAAAAAAAAAGAGGACGACCTTCTTCTTCTTCTTCTTCAATCTTTGATATAGCAAGAATTCTGGGCATCTATAATTATCCCCAAATAACCTCAAATTCACAAGCAAACACAATCTGTTCTCCCTCTTCTTCCATATCCCATCCTTCCATTCATGTAAGTGACCAGAGGTTCCTCAAGGGACAGGCCTACATAGAGACTGTTCCTATTCCACCTGGCCATACCAACAGAGTCGGGCAGAAGAGTGAATAGCCTCTCCAAAGTCTAGTGCTCTCAGGGGACAGACATAAGATCTAGAGGCACAAATAGTAACAGAGAACACATACCACATGCCTATGCTATGCTGAGCTCAGACTTGGGTTGTGGCTTTGGTTAACTGCATTGTAAGAGCATCAGCACTACCACAGCACTTTTATCTCATCAAATGCTCAGAGCACAGCTCCTAACAGAGGCAGAGCAGACTGCCGCCCTGCATCGACCAGCCACACCTTCCCCTCACGGCACATTCATTTCCTTAAAGAAGTACCTACCCTGCCATGTGCTTAGCACACAGTGTGGACCCACACTTGATTAATCAAATCCTGAATTTACAAAAACTTGAAAGTAAGATGTTTTAGAGCATAATGTCTCAGGACCACATGGTGCGCTTAGAAACCCACCACAGGCAAATATTATGGCCATGCTCACAAAGCCATCAGGAAGTTATTTAAAACTTTTCTAGCTATAAAAGAAACTGTGGGCTGGGAGTATATCTCAGTGGTAGAGTGCTTAGGTTAGCACATGTAAGGTCTTAAGCTCAATTCCCAGGAACATAATTCCCTCTAAGACCCCCAGCAAAACTGTACCCAGTAAATATTTGACACCCTATGTTTGCAGGTACTTTAGCTATACTGTGCACAATCTTGCTTTTGGCAGGTACCGTGCACATTCAGGCCACATAGCAAGTTTGCACATCACTTTGCACTGCCTTAGAATTTTGATACAATGTACACAGCATTGAGTCCTTTATGAAGTGTTTTAAACATCTAAGCACTCATTGGTCTTATCCTTTCTCAAAAAAGAGCACAATTCACTCCCTACCTTATCTCCTGCCAAGAAGATATTTCTAATGGATCCAAGACCAAACAGAACCCTAGGAAAACAGGGACTTGATGGTACTTCAGACTGTCTTCTTTGGTGTGGCTGTGGGTTTTGTTGTTGCATAAATTTTCTTTTTTTTTTTTTTTTAATGTGTATGAGTGTTTTGCCTGCTTGTATGTAGGTGCACCTCATGTGTGCCTGGTACCCATGGAGGCCAGATGAGGGTGCTAGATACCCTGGAACTGGAATTACAGGTGGTCACGAGCCATCATGTGGATGCTGGTAATTTAACTCAGGTCCTCTGCAAGAGCAGCAATTGCTCTAAACCACTGAGCTATCTCTTCAGTCCTGTGGCTATGGGTTTTTTTTGGTCTTTTTAAGACAGGGTCTCCCTGTAGCTCCAGCTGTCCTGGAACTATGTAGACCAGGCTGGCCTTGAACTCACAGAAATCCGCCTGCCTCTGCCTCTCGAGTGCTAGGATTAAAGGCCACCACGCCCAGAAACTGTTGCAGAACTAGACTAAGGGAGAGTCTGATTCTCAGCTAATAAGCATTCAGAAAAGGCTACTATGTAGTAGTTTTTGAGTTCCAGCCCTCTGTATCTTAGTTAAAGTAAGTTAGTAACTCGAGTTTTAAAGTACTAACTGTTAAATATCTACAATGATAATGTACCCATTAACACAAAGTCACTGATAAACTCTATCAAATTGCAAACCCAAGTGTCTTGTGTCACAGAACATGACAGGCGGGTCCTGGCCCCTCACTTTTCAGAAGGCAAAACTGATAGCTGACAGTAGCTGTCTTCCTAGGACACAGGACTGGGGAGTGATTAAAAGTTACTTCAAATGCTCCTCAACATTTGAAAGGCTAGTAAATCCCAGGCAGAGGCCCATGCCATACCTGTGCAGTCTCACAGAGCCCATGAGATCAATGACCTTCAGCTCACCCTTATGGTACCCTTCAGTTTTCATTTGCTCAAAAAGCACAGCAATCTTTTCATCTCCACCAGGCCATCTTCCCATGGTCCTGCCCTGTGCCCAGCAGGCAAGTGTCTCCCACCCTCGTCCCATTGCACTCTGAACACAGTTCATTAAGCATTTGTATAATGGGATGAGCTCAGGCTGAGTGAGCTGCACTGAATTTCACATTTGAAATGAAAGTGAAAAATCAATGGATGGATTCTGTGCTTGAATGAGATTTCGATGTCCTAGATCCCAGGGTAGGGTGGGGAGGGGTGGGGGTCCCTGGTCACCTGGAGCCCCACAGTCGCAGCACACATCATTGCCCGTCATCTTCTGCACCTCCGAGATGATCTCCTTGGTCAGTTCCTGGACAATGTTATTTTCCCCAGTATTGTCATCTCCCTTGAAAGCATTGTTCAAAGCTTCTTCCTTGCTGTTCTGCAGCACAGACATCCATCTAGACAAAGAGAAGAAGGTGTTACCTAGCAGAACAACACCCATTCCCACCCCTGATCCCATCTTCATGATACTTACATCTGACATTCCTGTTCATCTTCTGCTTGAAAGTGGTATGTCCTGTCATCTGCACAGCAAGGGGAAACATCACTGTGAGGCTGAGTAGTCCACACACAATTCCCAAGAAAATTAAAATTAACCTCAGGAATAATGTGAGCTCTTTACCAGGAAATTTGTGATTTACATAAAATCAAGCAGTCCCTTCTGCCCCTCAAATGTGTGCTGGCCTCAGTAATTGCGACTTTATAATGAAAAGTAATCTACCTGCCCTACTCTCCCCATTCAAGCCTAAAAGATGCTGTTTCCAGAAACTGACACTAATTAACAGAAATTAATGGCCCTGTGTGTACATGTGTGTGTGTGTGTGTACAGTATCAATTATGTCAATTATGTGCTATTTCTGTGTGTACGGGGTGTATATGTGTGTGTGTGCGAGCAGTATCAATTATGTCAATTATGTGCTATTTGTGCCACAAATGCATAACGTCAGCTCAATCATGAGAAAACATTGGAGAAATCTAACATGATGAGCATATTACAACAAAACTGATCAGTATTCTTTGGAAGATATAAAGATCAGGACAGAAGAGGGCAGTCTGCAGAAATGTTAGACTTCTGGGGGCCAAGATAAAATAAGGACTAAGTCCTGCAGGAGATCTTGGGGCAGAAAACTGGTGAGCTACAGGTGAGATTTTCAGTGAGCAGCGCCATGCCCATGTTTCTTCCCTCAATGTGCAATTCTCCTTGCAATATGAACTGGCTAAATATACTTAGAAAAGTGCACTAGGGGAAGCTGGATGGGGACATCTAGAAAGTCTGTGCACAGAATCAGGCAAAAAGCAAAGTAAAAGAGAAAAACCAAACCTGATAAGAGAAGAAAAGGGAGGTATAACCTTTGCAGATGGCAGAGGTTTGTTGACAAACATCAATTCTTTTCTTGGTGACACAATAAACATGTATAACCCGAAAAAGTGAGCAGAGGGCTGGCGAGAGGGCTCAGCAAGAAAGATGCTTGCCACCAAACCTGATGACTTGAGGTTCAATCCCTAGAACACACACACACACACACACACACACACACACGCACGCACACACACACACACACACACAATTGTTAACAAAAATACAGGGCTGGAAAGATGACTCAACAGTCATCAAGAGGACAGGCTCCTCCTGTAGAGAACCCAGGCTCAAATTCCAGTACCTACATTATGGCTAATAACTGCCCATAACTCCAGTTCCATAACTGAAGCCTTCTTACTTCTGCAGGCACTGCACAACATGGGTACATTTACATACATGCAGGGCCTTGCACAAAGCATTCCCACTAGATGCTCTAGGGAGTTGGGCATTTTGAAAATCTGCTGGGTTAAAAACTGAGTAAGACTGGAATTCATTTCACATACCTTCCTAGGTCCCCACTCCCCCAGGCCAAGCAGGGAAGAGGGTAAGATATTTCCAAAGATGACCAAAGACTCTGCATGTCCACAAAAGCAAACAGTGCCTGCAGCCAGACTCACAGAGCACCCTAGGCTCATTGCCTCTTGAGGACGTTCATATGTATTAGGCTGCAACAAAGACATGTCTGTCTGGATTGATGCTCTGGGGCAAAGCCAGTCTCATAAAACTAGCCACTTCCCCCACATTCCCCAATTGTTACAGGATGTAACAATTCACACCTAACAGGAGTTCTTATGCACTTACTATGCACACTCCTCCTGGTGTCTGACATCGAGAATGTGTGGGCAGAAAACTCTGCAGCAGCTGCTTCTGCACCTCTGGTATTTGCTGGGGCCCTACCAGCCATACTGAAGGTAACTAGGGGTAGCTGAGGGAGGTATTGTACCTGTCTCAGTATGGTGCACAAAGCTCAGTTAGCCACCAAGTGCTGTTCAGTTGCCCAAGGGCACTTACACCTAGGGTACCGTGCAGCATGTAATGGGCTTCTATTTCAGAAAAAAAGGGCCCCAACCCCTCTACTCCAGCCACCAGCAGACATCTCATATTACACCATCAAGTTTTCTCCCTTTAACTTCTGCTGCTATCTAGAGGCAGATAACCCAACAGTGATCACGTTATAAACTATGGTCGAGGCTCAGCATTTTACATTGTGAATGAATGTGAATCTGAGAGCAAGCTTTGTTGGATATGTGAACCTACTACACTGAGGGGTAGGGACCTTGGAGCAGCATAATCTTTGTGTCTGTGTGCTATATGAGAGGGGTACACATGCAAAAGCCAGAGATGCCCTGTTCTGACATTCTGCCTTATTCCCTTGAAATAGGCTCTCTCACTGAACATGGAGTGATGCTGGTGGCCAGGAAGCCCCAGCAAGCCTCCTGTCTCTATTCTCCACCCCCCACCACCACCAGTGCTGGGGTTACAGGTACACACATAGCCATAACCAACTTTTTACAAAGGTGCAAAGGATTTGAACTCAGGTCCTTGGACTTGTACAGCAAGTGCTCTTACACACTGAGTCATCTCCTCAGGCCAGCATAAAGGATTATAGTCCCCTAGTGTTTCCCTACTTCATACTGCTCAGTCCTCCCTGCACCTAAATGCAGAGGGCCTGTGAAATGAAACCTGAGGAGGAACAGAAGCTATGCACGCAGAGTGGAGATGGCATCACTGACCTTGTTCATTTGTTATATATCTTGGCTCACATCACAGTGCCTCCCAGGCCTCAATAATACAGTCAGCAGAATAAATCAGCACACAGGGGGCATTCCACCTGCCTACTCCCCTCAGGCCAGTGCTTTCTATAAACACAACTGCTATGCTAAATCACTGATGTGATTCAGAGTGGAGACTGGCCCATCCTTCCCCAAACTGTAACCAAGTCACATGCAAAGACTGAAGACAAAAGGTATTTATCATATTTTCCTTGAAACATCATGAGCCCTTCTCTTTTCTTTTTCAGAAGGGGGTGCTGAGCAAACATTTGCTGTAGTTGTTGGTTCCATGGTAATTCCTTTGTGTAACCACAAAGATGAAAAGTATATAGAAACAGACTAATTTTGTGGTGAGAAAGACAAACAATCAAAAAAAACAACCCTGGGCTGGAGAGATGGTTCAGTGGTTAAGAACACTGGCTGTTCTTACAGAACACCCAGGTTTGAATCCCAGCACCCACATGGCAGTAAACAACTGTCCGTAACTCCAATTCCAGAGGATCTGACAGCCTCTTCTGTCCTCTACAGGCATTGCACGACACGGGTGCACTTACCTACATGCAGGCCAATACACACATACACATAAAAATAATAAAGTATTTAAAAAAAAAAAAAACCCAAGGGCTTTATTGACAACCTAATCATTTCTATTTACAGCATTTCTAAAATTCCATTTATTATATTTATGTTTAGGGTGAAGCAGGGGCTTGTGTGCACCACGGCAAATGTGTAGAGGTCAGGAGTCAATTCTCTCCTACCATGTGGGTTCCAGGGATAGAACTTAAATCGTCAGGCTTGGCAGCAAGGACCTTTACCTGCTGAGCCATCTCACTAGCCCCCATATGTAGCATTTTTAGTATCACATAAATAAATTATAGAAGCTTCTGACAACAAAATTATCCTTTAGGGCTGCAAAATTTTAAACTGAGGCTCATCTACTACAATCTACTTATTTGCCAACAGGAGAGTTAAAGTTCAGAGTAGAGAGGGGAGCTCTGGGTTTATAGAGCCCATGGAGTAGGGCTTAAAGGCCAATCCTAACCCAAGGAACTAGCAAGCCACCAACCACCAGGTAGGTCACTTAAAAACAGGGTTTCAGGACGGGCATGGTGGCGCATGCCTTTAATCCCAGCACTTAGGAGGCAGAGGCAGGCGGATCTCTGTGAGTTCGAGACCAGCCTGGTCCAGGACAGCTGAGGCTACAGGGAGACCCTGTCTCAAAAAGAACCAAAACCAAAAACCCCCCAAAAACCTAGGGTTTTACCATGTAGCACAGGCTGGCCCCAAACTCACAATCCTCCTACCTCAGTTTTCCAAGTGCTGGGTTTACAGACCTACACATACCCCCATCTGGCTCAAGACCAATTCTTCAAAAGGCTGATTGATGCCCAACAGGAACACTTAAAATAAGCATTCCATGATGCAATCTCAAAAAGAACCTTACGTGAGATGAGGTCAAAACACTTCTTCTCCTCAGGGTTGGTCTTCACCTGGCAGGTCAACAGGTTGAGTTTAGCAGGTGGCCGGTTAGCCTGTTTAAAAGCAAATAAAAATAAGGAATGAGTGGGAAGGAATGGGAGATGGTCCTTTGTCAGTGCTCAGGAAAACACAGCCAGAGCAGACTTCTTACTAGGTTATAAAGACAGCATTCAGAGGCAGGATGCACAAAAAGGCATGCTGGGGATCCCTGAGTATCAGTTCCACAAGAAACAGAACTGCTGCCATCCCTGCCAGGGCATACATGGGGGTCTATACAATGCATCTGGACAAGGGGAAGAACAGGGTCAGTATCTAGTTTGGTGGTAATGGACCCACTGAGATCAAAATGCTACAGGGATGAAGCCCTGAAACACTGGGCTCTGATTTCTAGAGGCAGCACAGGAGGATGGCTGGGTAGGCTTGAGCACCCAGCTCCATTTCTAGAGGTTTTAAAGGCATTTTTTTTTCTAAGTGGAAATCTTACTTCCAGGAAAAGTAATTTGGCACAGAGGAAGGAGGAAGTGGGTCAGAGAAGTCATTACTATACTTTCTGAAATAACAGCAGGTAACAAATTCACAATCCTAAATGCCATCCATCACTGTCACTTAAGTTTCAACAGAATACACTCATACACTCATAACCCACATACAAAAGACCATAACATACTTTATTGGTTTAAAAGACAGAGGGTAGAGGTTGGAGAGATGGCTCAACAGTTAAGAATGCTTGCTACAGGACAAGGGTTCAATTTGCAGCACTTATTAATCCAGAGACATATCTGCACCTATGACTGGGCAGGCCTGGGAGATCCTCTTGCATTCACAGACCTGGGTGCTTACCACTAACTTTACAGAGCTGAAGGTAGAGTAGTCTCAATTAAAATGGGACCAATCTGTGCAGCTTGTGAAATCTAGAAACACATAAATTAGATGAACAGGTCTGTCCAACACTCTCCTGGTTCACACCTCTATTTCTCTTATCTGCTACGCAGTCATCACTGGATAGTCTCTAACTCATCCACAGTCAATATTAGAAGAAATCATACTGCCTAATTCTGCAAACCTGAGAGTTCTGCAAGTTAAAACACCGCTGATTTTGGATCTTCACCAAGATCACTGGCTGGTCCAGGAACCAATATTTACACATTTCTACAATGGTAACCGCCCCCCCAACCCCAACACTTCAACCAGCCACTGTGACATGGGCATATGGCTGATGTAACATCTGTACACTTTTTGTGACTTTCCAGTTTTTAGGGATACTTCTAGACTGTGGTGTTCACTAAGTGTTAGCCTCATGAACAGTCAAAAGAAGTAGTACCCTGGGGTGAATGCAAAAGCCCTTTATCGGACAAGACAATGACTTTTTAAAAGAAGAGCTACATTTATTGGTCTGTTACCAGTATGTGCTTACATGAATCAGGCACTGTTGGAAACATTTTTCATAAATTAATTCACTCAACATTTCTAGCTGCCCTTTGAACAACTACTCCAACATTTAGATACAGACAGTGTAAACAAATGAAATCACTTGGTTGGGCTGTGCAGCGTGGGAGCTGGAAAGCAAGGGCTCCAACAAACCCATAGAGTTCCAGGCCCTTACTGCCACCCTCCCTGGCCTTCACATGACGGTATTCAAGGAAGGTGGTCATTCACATGGATTTTAAATTTGCCTTTATTTTTGAATTTCATACATGTATAAAATGAACTGTAATCATACCTACCCCCCATCCTCCCTCTAACTCCACATCTCCCCTACAACCTTCCCCCTCCCAACTTCATGCTTTGTTTTGTTTTTTTAAATAACCTGTCAAGTCCAGTAAGTATTGCCTGTAGGTGCATGGGTGTAGTGTCATCCACTGGAGCGTGGGCAATCTACCAGGGGCCACATCCTTAGAAAAGAATGATTTTCCTTCCCTCCCCTAGCAACTATCCACTGCCAATTGTAACTCAGTAAGGGGGGTGTGGGCTGGAAATCATCTACCCCTAGCTGGGATAGGGGCTGGCTAGATCTGGTATAGGTCTTGTGCAGATAACCACAGCTATTACCTGGACTCACTTTGACAGCCACAGTTGTAGTTATTACCCCCTCCCCTCTCTGAACCTCTAACTGCCGCCTTCCTTCCCCCGTGGCACTGCCATTCTTTAGGGAAGTAACTATCTTTGAAGGCAGACTTCTCATTTCACAGCAAACAAAAGCCAAATACAGAAAAGGATCCAGTGCCTTCATCTGAACTAGGAATTATGAGGCTACAAATGTGGCTACATATTAAAGATGACAGCCATAAGAAGGGTCCACAGAAACACAGTGAGCAATCTTAAGCACTACCTGCTTTCCCAAGTTTCACTTTAATAACAGCTTGCTATTTGTTCATTCGGATTATTAGCTAACAGCAAAGTTGTGAGGCAATTTATGAGAGAATGTTCTATCCATTAAATCCCTTCTTGGCTGCAATTTGGAAAAGAGTGTTATTATTCAATTTAGCTAGAGAGCAAGTTTATCTCCTTCCCAAGGTAGTCCACATTCCTCAAGAACCTAACTGGAAAAACCCTGGTTTAGTAGAAAACTCAACAAGCAGGGAAAAATCCTTTAACTTAAAAGTTTGCTATGAGAGCAGACGGTATTGCTGATTCTCCATTTAATCATGCTTTTCTACTTTTTATCAACTTCTCAGGCTTTTAAAAGGTACAGATGGGGGGCTAGAGAGATGGCTCAGCAGTTAAGAACACTGACTGTTCTTGCAATCTGTCTTGGAATCTTGTGTTTGATTCCCAGCACCCACATGGCAGCAAACAACTGTGTAACTCCAGTTCCAGGGGATCCAACAGCCTCTTCTGTCCTCCGCAGGCATCACACGACATGGGTGCACTTACATACATGCAGGCATAACACTCTTACACATAAAATAAAAATAATGGATGGACAGGTGTGTGCCATAGAGATTTAACCTAAGGCTTCACACTTCCATTGAGTCCTTAAAAAGCTTTTAAAATACAAACCTATACTCTTCTTCCCACACGAATAATGATTATTTTCAAAAATTGGCCTAAAAGTCAGTGGACAACTCTTCCAGCATAACATAGTCCCTAAGCCTTGGGTGGGAGGCAGTTCTGGGAGCTTGGCAAAGAGGACCCCTAATTAGAGCATTTATCCTAAGAATTACTCCTCCCAGTGCCAGAAACACAACTTGCTGTGGCAATACCCACGTGAACTCACACTGCATCCATCCTAGATAGTACTCTCTCCCCCCTCCTGGAGTACAGAGTACAGCAATTTCACTTCCCAGAGGCTGCCAGCTTCCTGGGAAGGGTCTTCCTGATAGTACAAGCATGCCCAGTGGGCTTCCACTTCCTATGGACTCTATTCCTGGCTGTGTGCCAGGTGCTGCTCTTAGATCCCCGCTCTCAAACCTGTCTGGAAACCTGCCCTTTTATCCTGATGGCAAACTAAACTAGCACACTCAGGAGCTGCTGGCAAAATGGGCAAGCTACACAGGAGTCAGATCAAAACCCAAACAAGCAAACAATGCATGTCTCAACTTATGACTCAGTTCTCTCTCTCTCAGCCTGCATCATTCATGTCTCCAACATGCAAACATGTAGGGTGCAGGAACATGGAGGGCTGTTCAGGATTCTGACTTCCAGGGCTTAGAGAACACCACACACACACACACACACACACACACACACACACACACACACGCACGCATGCACAGAGAGCAAGAGCGAGAGCGAGAGCGAGAGCAAGAGCGAGAGCGAGAGCGAGAGCAAGAGAGAGAGAGAGAGAGAGAGAGAGAGAGAGGAACACTCAGCACTGGAAGGTAAAAAAGAAAAGCAAGCTACCAGGTTCTTCCAAGGCCATAGGGTGAGGGCTGCTGAGCTGGGGCCCACCTGTCACCCCTGCAGCCAGAAATGGCTGCTAATGGCAAGATGAGGCATCCCTCCTGAAATGGAGGTCCCTGGAGAGGGATCCCCTCAAAGTACACAGCTTTTATTAAATATGCACAGTGTGTAAATTGGCTGTCAGCTTCCTAGTAAAGCTAGATAAAACTGCTACTGCCCTGAAACAGGGGCAACCTATCAAAATTTAAAGAAAAGTAAGTCTCATGTCTTTGGGGAGGAAACTGGAACACTGGAAGTGACTCAAAGTCAATTATACTGCCAGCAAGGAATCACCAGGCCTGTTCTCCCCCATTGCTGGGGGAAGTGGAGGCCCTATGCCTCAGGGACCTCAAGCAATCAAATGTGTCTGTGACATGGGAGCTTTAACTGCATAACAGGACACTTGGCCTTATTTTACAATGGTGTCTGCATGGAGGCAGTACTCATGAGTTAAAGTAATGGACAAAAAAAGTGAACCACAGCATCACAGGGGATTAGACCAGTTAGGGAAACCCAACCATCTCCTGTCAAACATTCTTCATCTTAAAGATGCAATACGGTTAAATATATTTGCTTCTCTTAGTCTAGAGCACTCAGACCTTCCCCAACCTTGTATATCTAGGGGAAAGAAGAGCACATCAAAATCCAAACTCAAGGCTCAGGAGTAAGCGGTGATCACATGACCCGTAACCAGTGCAAGGCTGGGTTATAGAAAAAGAAGGATCACCTTTATTCACTCAGTCCAGAGACAAAGTCAGTCCCTTTGGCAGGGATAACTGAGACCACTACAAACTAGACTTGGTATATGGCAGTTCCAGTCTCTCTCCCTCCCTTAATGGAATCATCAAAAGTAAAAGAGATAACACACACACACACACACACACACACACACACGCACACACACACACACACGCACACCACCACCACCACCACCACCATCACACAATTCTTGCTTAGGTGACATCTTTCATGTGGGGCTTTCTTTTGTTACTCCAAAGTGCTGATAAGGTCTGGTTCTCAGGACCTCTTTCTCTCACAAAACTATGGGATGGGAAAAGGAAGAACAAGACAGAGACCCAGGTTCTCATCAGCACCCACACTCATGACTGAGGTTGCTGGTGTGTATGAGAGTGGTGCCTGTGCTCAGAGAAGAGAAACTTGCCCGCCATCTGCTTTCTCATTACCCATTGTCAACAAAGGCAACCAACTTGGCCTTGAGACAGCCCCAAACCTATCTACCAGCCTCTGTGGTTTTCATCAGCTCCAGTCACTCCAGAGATGACATGCCTAGTGTCCCTGTGGAAAAGAACACTGTGGAATGAAGGACTGTGACAGAGTTCCTGGTTCCTGAAAACTAGTGAGTGATTTTATTCTCACTGCTTTTTCCATAAGCCCAACATAGAGGGCTCAGTTTTTGCTGCATAGGTTCTTTCAAATAGGATGACAAAAAGAAAAAAATTAAGTTGGGTATAGTATGTGAAATTTCTGTAATAAAGTTGTTAAATTCTCTCTCTTTTTTTTTTTATTTTTTTATTTTTCTGGATTTCTGACTCCAGGAATTCTGACCATTTGAAAGACTTTCCCTGTAATGGAAACTAAAAATCTTCCTAAGTAGGATGTCAAGGATGAAGGTAGCTGGGGCAGCTAGCTGCTTCATGGTTTCTGGAAGTGAAAAGCTTCTAGACAAGGGTAACCTGAGTGATCAGTTTCTACAAAGCCATGAGATATAACCAAGCTCCACAAGACCAAAGAACACACCCAGGGCCCTAGTTCTCAAAGAAGGTCTTCAAAATGCAACCTCACTACAGCAATACACGTAGAATGGCTGTGTCTTCTGACATCACTAAGTCTCACAACATAGACTTCATCCAACTACCCACAGCAAAGATCATGAATTAAAACAGATACTCACGGTGCCATGGGATATGGTCAGGAAGCCATTTTTAACAGAACACTTCCTTTTCTGCCATACTTTTCGGATCCTTTTGGAAAAGTAGGAAAAAATGACAAGACTTTAGCCATCGAACACAGACAGCGAACATACATTTCAATTCTAGCACTTAGTACACTGGTCACCTACCCATCGCTTTTCTTGTACAAGTTTCCATTCCGCTCTGTTCCATGTTCCTTGTTTCCCTGAGGCTGATGCAAGCTATAAGCTGTACTCTGGCGAAGTTGTGAGTCCTAAAATTTGGTCAAGAAACTGCTTTTTAATACATTTATTATCTATGTTCCAGTTTTCAAAAATAAAGTACATAAGCTGGGCGTGGTGGTGCACACCTTTAGTCCCAGCACTAGAGAGGCAGAGGCAGGTGGATCTCTGTGAGATGGAGGCCAACTTAAGTCTACATAGGGAGTTCAAGGGAGGCTGGGCCTATAGGGAGACCCTGAATCAAAAAACAAAAAACAAAAAGCAAAACAAAACAAGAAGTACATAAAAGAAATTCCTAAATATTTTTTAATTATAAAATTTCTTCTCACACACTAAAATCCCTATATAAGAAACCATAAATGCCAGCCGGACATGGTGGTACATGCCTTTGATCCCAGGACTCAGGAGGCAAAGGCAAGTAGATCTCTTTGAGTTCAAGGCCAGCCTGGTCTATATAGTGAGTTACAGGCCAGCTGGGGCTACAGGGAGACCCTGTCTCAAAAAGACAAAAAATGAAATGAAAAGAAAAGAAAAGAAAAGATAAGGCCATCCATCAAGTGGGAGAAGGAAATGCCAAAACTCAGCATTCCTCTCATGTGGAAGACCTGGGGTTCTACCCCTAGCTCCAACCCCGACCCCAAATCAGTATTTCCAAATTGGTTTTAATGAACCACCTTGGGGATGACAGGTCTTAAGTTTGTTGTGAGCTTTATGGCCCCAGTGATGCTAGGATCTCAGGAAGGTGCTGTGATATGCTGAAAACAGTCACCGCTTTCAAAGCAACACAAAACCATCCTCTACCTCTTGCTATGGAGAAGCAATTTATACTTTCTACCTCAGTTTCGTTCTTGGACAACAGGAAAACAACACCCAGTAAGATGGTAAACACAACAAGGACTAAATATAGTCACATATGTAACTACCTGGTATAAGCAAGATCAGCCAAATGTTTCCTTTCTCACCTTGTCATTATCATGGGGCAGGGCACAGCACTAATCCTAACTGTTCCAACCCTGACCCGTTCAAACAAACCAAGCCTGTAGGAAGGATACCACTATCAGAGGGAAGGGCATCACATGCTCAGTTGAGACTCAGTGTGCGTCTACACCATGGCAAACTCCAGCCTGTGGATTTTTGAAGGCAAGACCAGCACGAATTCCCCAGTCTAGTGACGAGCCCTGGCAGGTGTTCAGCTGGTATTTAACAATAGAAATCAAAGGCTGGAGAGATGATTCAGCAGTTAAGAGCACTGGCTGCTCTTGTAGAGGACTTGGGTTTAGTTCCCAGCACCCACATAGAGGCTAACAACAATTCTTAAGTCCAATTCCAGAGAATCAAATGTCCTCTTTGGCCTCCACAAACACTGCATGACATGGGTGCCCTTATATATGAGCAAAAAAACACTCATACACATAATTTTAGAATTATTTTTTTAAAAAACTGAAATCAGGGCTGGAGAGATGGCTCAGCGGTTAAGAGCATGGACTGCTCTCACAGAAGACCCAAGTTCGGATTCCAGCACCCACATGGCAGCTAACAACTGTCCATAACTCCAGTTCCAGGGGATCCGACAGCCTCTTCTGTCTTCTGCGGGCATTGCACAACACAGGTGCACTTACCTACATGCAGACAATACACGGAGACACATAATAAAAATAATAAATAAAATATTAAAAAACAACCCTGAAATCAGATGCCCCAAGCTAAAAGTAGAAGGAGCAACCAGTCAGTACTGGCTCTGGCAGACCCACAGGAAGCAAGCAGGGAGCGAGATGCCCACAAACATTCACAACTAAGTAAGAGCAGAGCAGAGGGAGACCTGCCTGTTTCTGTTTAATGTCAACTCCACCAAGCTAGTTCACTTCTACAGAAGCAACAGAGACTAGATGATATTAAGTGGTTTGCTCAAGGAGCCGAGCCTCTGAAAGCAAGAGCAGAGTATGGAAAGGAAATTCACCTCTGACATTACCAAAATGGATGGCCTCTGAGACTAGGGCCAAGCTCCATCCTGACAGCAAGCAGCCGGCCAACCCCACCAGAGAAACAAAGCCTGTGCCCAGACAACGAAGGAATTAATGTATGAAAAACGTAATCCAAAACAAACAGAGAATAAGAATCCTCCAGAACTGAGAAGTGAAAACCATAAGGAGAGACTAGAAGAGTCTTAAAGTGGAGAGAAAAACCAGTCATGAAAGAGAGGGCTATTCAAGGCAAAGAGGACAACACACAGAAGACAAGGAGACAAGGCGAGGGCAGAGTGAGGACTGTGCTTGTCATGCAGGGAAGAAGAGCCACACTGAGCTAGGAGGCAGAAGGCCAAGCTTGCTGGAGTCAGAGGACAGGCTCTAGCTCCAAGAGACAGTAAGCCATGTGGGTTCTTCCTAATTTGGAAAAGGGTTTTGTGGTTTTTACTTTAGGGGTCATACATAAGAAACCACTGCCTAATTTAAGGTCATGAAATTTACTCCTATAAATCTTTCAAGAGTTTTATACTTTCAACTTTTACACTTAGATGTTTGATCTATTTTGAGTTAATTTCAGATTATGGTGTAAGATAGGGGTTCAAATTCATCCTGTTGCTTGTGGGTTTTCAGTGAGCTGGGCACCACTCTTTCCCCTACCGTCTTGGCAAGCTCAGTGAAGGCTACTGACCACAGATGTCTGGGTTTATGTCTGGACTCAATGCTATCTAATGGATCTGCACATCTGTCCACACACTAACCCCACACTGGATCAGCTAACAGACCCGAGACAGCTAGCTAGGACAGTCTACAATCTTCTGACTTCAGAGAACTTCAGCTCACTCTGTGCTTCACTAGGATAGAAAAGAACAACCTGAGCCCTGATTCACTGTGTGGAAGCTGTTGAGGCTGGTTTACCAACACTGTATGGAGCCTCCAAGAGCTTTAGAAAGTCTACTCAGGTCATACTCCCTCTATCCTGTGGCATCCAGGAACTACCTGTGATCTTGACTTCTGTATAGCCTCTGGTTCTGCCAGCATAGTCTTCCCATATACGCAGTGGACTAAGAATTCGAAGTCCCCAAGAATGGGGAAAAGAAGGGCAGCCTAAATACATACATCACACACAGGTTCACCCACAAGCCCAAGTTGCCTGAGACTCTAGAGCATCACAGAAACTTAAACTGTGCCCATCTCTTAAAAAGTCACAATTGTGATTGATGAACTACCAAGGGAAGGGTCATCTTTGGAATCTTAAGGTTCTCTGCCATTAGGTCTTTGATGTCTACCTCATCTTAGACTCTTGGGGAATGGTGGGTGTGGGCACCCACATAAGTGCTGTGACTAAGAACAGCATCTCAATGAACATAGTCTCCTCTGTTAATAATTTCTTAGGACTCTGACACAACGTGTTAAAGTCCCATGACTCACCTAAAAGAGAGAGCAAGCTTATAGTGGAACAGATGAGGGTCCAAGTCCTGGATGAATGGTACCCAGTGACCCATCAGCAAGTGTGTATACCTTCTTCTCATATTCAACTTGTAAACATGGACTGACTCAACCTACCCCACAAGGTGGCTTAAGAATTCTTGGTCATAGCAGAGCGTAGCAGTGCACACTTTTGATCCCAGCACTCAGGAGGCAGAGGCAGGTAGATCTTTGTGAATTCAAGGTCATCCTGGTCTACATGGTAAGCTATAGGCTAGCCAGGGATACATACTGAGATCCTGTCTCAAAAAAAAAAAAAAAAGCTGGCTAGATGGTTCAGTAGAGAACTCGGGTTTGAATTCCAGCACCCACATGACAGCTAACAACTCATAGATATAAAATAAAACTAATAAATAAAAAATATTTTTTGGTCTTTTTGAAACAGGGTCTCCCTGTAGCCTTAGCTGGCCTGGAATTCACTATGTAGACCAGGCTGGTCTTGAACTCACAGAGATCCACCTATCCACCTGCCTCTGCCTCCCAAGTGGTGGGACTACAGGTGTGTGCTACCACGCCCAGATAAATAAAATATTTTTTTTTAAGAAAAGAATTCTTGCTCACATTTTGGGAAAAACTCTTGGTCACACTTGCTTGAAAAAATGTGATCAGTGAGGTATATAGGAAGGAAACAGATGTAGAAAGGAATACCCCAAGGGAGGGGCTGGGGAAGGAGAGTGATGGTGGCTGGACCTGCGGATGGTGGAGTCAAGAGGACCGCCTATGATTAGGAGGACAGGGCACAGAGCAAGAGTGGGAGCAGCAAGATGTGGGGGAGCAGATGGGCCAGCAAGAGAGGACTGAGGTTTGACAGGACAGAGCAGATAGCAAGGTAACAGCAGCAGAAACTTCCACTATTATTCCATCACTGAGTGTGATCGCAGTGGGATGAGTTCAGTCTCTTTTGTTCACTGCTGCATCTTCACTACTGTATCTAGAAGCTCAATACTTGAATGAATGAATTAGTGCTTGTTTATCAAGACAATGAGCTGAGACCTTGACAGAAACTCAGATCTTCTAAAAGCTGCCGAGGTGAGCAATGGTATTCCTGTTTTACAGGGGACTGAAGCAGGAAAAGCCCAGGAACCTGCCAGGTGTGGAGGACCTAGCCTCGGCTCTTCTGATCTACCCTAGGCCTGAATCAGATGTCACCCTACCTGTTCCACCTATAGGACTATGCCAGCTTCTGGTCAACTTCCAAAGTCCTGACCCAGGAACTATAGCCACTAGGAAGTCATCACATAGAACCTGCCACCCACAGACTGGGCAGACACCCTTCTTTGAAACTGACCTCCATTACAGCTCTCACACTGTACCCCCAATTATTTTTCTCTCCTCAGCTTCAGATCATGATTCCTGAATAGGTGACCACTATATCTACCTTATTCTCATGGTCTGTATAGTGCATAGCTCAGAGTGACCCCTGGGAAACAAATAGCTGAAACTGTGAACCACTGGACAAGTCTTCCTTCTACTGAAGGACCGCAGCAAGCCACCCAGGACTCAGGAGAGGAAAGTCAATGTTAAGCATGGTAAGGGGTCACAAATCCACTTTGAAAAAAATAAAGAGTCGGGAAGAGACAACAGTCAGAGCAGACTCTGCTACTTGACAGCCAAGTGCTTGACCACATCCTAATGAACTGAGACACTTGGAAAGGAGAAGCAGGGAGGGAGGGAGGGAGGGAGGGAGGGATGGATCACTGTGGTTTCAGCAACTAGACTTTCTGAGACCACTCTCAGAACACAATCTTCTCCCAGTAGCACATGTCTAAGGTTCTCAATATCAGTAGCATCAAAGCAGATCCATTCCTTAAGGACCCCAGAGATGGGTTTCAACAGGTATATATAGGATAGAGAGGGCAGGAAGGAAGGTTGATAAAGAGAGCTCATGCAAAAACCAGTAGCAGCAAGGGTTTCAACTTTGAAGAAAAGATCAAACCCCTGGGGTACCAGGATCTTGTGCATGCTAGGTAAGTATATTATCACTAAGCTACATTCCTGCCACTTTTAATTCTTTTTATATGCAATTTTTATTTTATTTTATTTATTTTTGGTCTTTTTGAGACAGGGTCTCTCTGTAGCCCCAGCTGTCCTGGAACTCACTATGTAGACTAGGCTGGACTTGAACTCACAGAGATCCGCCTGCCTCTGCCTCCCAAGTGCTGGGATCAAAGGCCTGTGCCACCATACCCAGCTATTTTGTTTTTTTTGTTTGAGACAGGGTCTCCCTGTAGTCTGAGCAGGCCTAGAATTTACTATGTCAGCCAGACAGGCCTAGATCTCACAGAGATTTGTCTGCTTCTGCCTCCCAAGTGTTGGGACTGAAGCCATGCACAACCATGCCCAGCTCTTTTAACTTTTTTTCATTGTTTATTTTAATTTTTTATTTTATATGTTTGAGTGTTTGGCCTGCATGTATGTAGGTGTACCACATGTGTACAATGCCTACAGAGGCCAGAAGAGGGCATTTGGGAATCGAATCTGGATCATCTGTAAGAACAGTTAAGTTCTGAATCGCTGAGCTCTCTCTCTAGCCCCCTTTTTTATTTTTTAAACTTTAAAAAAAAATTTTTACTTATTTTTTTTTTATTTTATGTGTATGCACGTATTGCCTGCATGTAGGTAAGTGCACCCATGTTGTGCAATGCCCGTGGAGGTCAGGAGAAGCTGCTGGATCCCTTGGGACTGGAGTTACAGACAGTTGTAAGCTGCCATGTGGGTGCTGGGATTCGAACCTGGGTCTTCTGCAAGAACAACCAGTGTTCTTAACTGCTGAGCCATCTCTCCAGCCCCACGCCCCCGTTTCTAAATTTTTTATTTTAGACAGAGTCAGAGTCTCACTATGTAGCCCTGGCTAGCCTTGAACTCGCACAGATCCACCTACCTCTGTTTCCCAAGTGCTGGATTTACAGGTCTACATTACAATACTTGGCTAGCTTATTTTGGGACAAAGTTGCCCAGGGTAAACCCTGAACTTATTCTGTAGCCAAAGCAGGCCTTGAACTTACGATCCTCTTGCCTCAGTCTCCCAAGTAGCTGGAATCACAGCTGAGTATTACCATGCTCAGCTATAGAACTTTTCCAAAAATCAAGCATGGACCACAGATATGGGTGTTCACTGTTTGATTTCTAAATTTTTCTCAAAGTCTGAAAATTTCCATGATGATGGAAATATCTAATAGCAGCATGCTCTGGGAGATGAGTGAGTAGGGGGAGTGAAAGCCAAAAACACTGGGGAGGAGTGAGGTGCACTGTGGTAATGGTCCAGTCTCCAAACCAAAGGGCAGTCACGGGGTGGCAAAGAAGAGCAGCTGGAGCCACGCTAACATTCTTCATCTCAGCAATGACTGGGGCTGAGGTTTACAGTGGGAGACAGCAACTCCTGCCAACCCCACAGGCACTGTACTCAGGCCCATTGCTGAACTTCCACGAACCATCATTATGCCTTACACAGGCAGAGTCTAAATTTCCATAGTGCTGCCTAAAATCCATCCAACACCTCAGCTTTCTGAGTCAGAGAGAAGACTCTAACCAAAGGAAGGAGATAAGACAGCAATACCCAGATGTCAACTGTGTGTTGTGACAAGAGGAAAAGATGGAACCCCAGCAGAAACTTATTTTAGAACACAGAAAATTTTACTTATTTGCATTTGTTTATTAATTTCTACAATGTCTATAGACTGTCCCATGTACTGACTATCATCATCAAAAAGCAAAACAGGAAACAACATGGTCACAACCAGGAGAATGGAGCACTTGGTCACAAAGCCAGAGGAAAGAAAGAGGTTCATCTGACCCTGTGTGGAAGCAGATGGGCTGCTTAGCCCAAACCACAGAACAAGCCATCAGAGACTTCTGGTCAGTTCTGGTGTTACAGTTTTTGTTTGTTTTTGTTTTACTTTGGGTTTCTTGAGGCAGGGTCTCACTATATAGGCCTGGCAGGCCTTGATCTCACTATACCAGGCTGACATCCAACTCACAGAGACCCACCTGCCTCTGCCTCTTAGGTGCTGGGATTAAAGGTATGAGCTACCAAACCTAGCCCAAAGTTGTCTGTAAGAGCTGTCTGATATAGCCAGTTTCCCCATACCTTGAATTCTGCACAGTCAGAGCTAACACAGTCTCTGTACCCCAAGGGCTGCCAATCCTCATGAGCAACTTCTCATCATTTTAAACTGGTGACTTGCTTCTCAGGTTAGATTCTCCTCAGACATAAACAGTTCTCCATCAGTGTCAGGGAGAGCAGCCACCTTGACTGCAATCAGACTCCCAAGCCTGCCTCTTCTATTTATAGTAAGGCCACAATCTCAAGTCACTAAGACTTGTACTTTCTGGACTGGGAAGAAATCACTGTGCTGCAGGCAATGCCTAGCAAGTCAGCACTGTAGGCGGGGTGCTGCCTCGCAGTCCCGCAGAGAAAGGGACTTAGAAGGGTTTGCATAATTCCATTCTGCAGGGAGGGTCGGGGGGTGACTGCTTCTTGTGAAGGAGTGACCACAAACTGTTAACCTGGAAATTTTCCATTTCACTACTATTTATGTATTCAAACTTGTCTTTTTAGTAAAATCTACTACAATGAAAGAGGAGACATTAAAATCTGAAATGAACTAACCATTAAGCTATACAAAGAAAGATCTATGAACAAAGCATGCAAAAGTCTCCAACTTATGAAAATACTGGACTACTTACTCTCCTAGACTTCGGTCACAAAAGGTAAATGCATTTGGGAGAAAAACAACAATATTCAGTTACAGTACAAGAACTTTCAAAAAATTGCCCACAGTCAACTTTATGTTCTGCTAAGTAGTTATCTAAACTCTTACTAGATATATTTAGATAACCTTTATTGACAAGGAAGTAGATTTATGTTAAATTTCTATTACATCCCACTACACAGAGGTTGGGACAGGAGGGTCACTTGAGCCCATGAGTTCAGGGTCAACTTGAACAATGGACTAGAGACAAAAATATTCACGTTATAATGTCAAAACACGTTTTCACTTCCTGAATTGTGTGAACATGAGGATGTCACTACACTAAAGAGATGATGGAGGAGAACCACAGATGTCTGGCTATTGGAGTGTAGCCATATGAAAAGCTAACTCCTCTCATCTTTAAAAAAAATTATTATTGTTCGTGTGTGTGTGTGTGTGTGTGTGTCTGAGTATGGGCACAAAAGTGCCATGACAGGTGTGGTGGTCAGAGGATGAGGAATTGGTTCTCTCTTTCCACTGTGGGATCTGGAGATCAAACTCAGGACATCAGGTTTGTGCAGCAAGCACTTATCCCTCTGAGCCATCTCCTCAGCTCCCTACTCATCTTGTTGTTTTTGATACAGTGCCATACTATATAATTTGAGTTGGTCCTGAATTCACTATGTAGCTCAAGTTGGCCTCAAACTCATGGCGATCCTCCTGGCTCAGCCTCCTGAGTAGAGGGACATAAGTATGTACCAATATACCCAGTCTGACTCCTCATATTCAGAACAGTCTTGGACTTTAAGGGACCCAGATGACCTATTCCAAGGGGGAGAATCCACACATGTTAGAGCAGGGTAAAGAGGTTCAGAGACAGAACTAATGGCATAAATGTGACAGAAACTCTGATAACTACAAGAAACTGACAGCAAGAAAGGATCACAGCAGGCCACGGGCCTGCAGTACATGTTGCCCAGGAAGTAAATATCCTAAAACAGATGCCCTTATCAAAGTCAAATCTGAAAAACAAATGACATTTTGGGAATGCTGGACTGTGACGCCCTGGTAGACATGGATGCCATATTCCTCAGCCCAAGCACCCGAGACATAGGGGTAAAAGTGATCCTTCGATCTTAAATTCCCTCACCTCTTTCTGTTCAACCTGCAATGCTGATTTCAAAATATCACGAAGTTGTATAAGCTGCCGTCGTTCTTCATCCTGGGCCTGCTTGATCTTCGAAAACCAAACAAAGCAAAGCAAAGTTAGACTGTGGCACACTGAAACCTTGAAGCTCTGGGCATTTCCACCCACAAGCACAGCCAGGATTGGCCTCCTTGGTGGCACACCATCTCTCCAGCCTGCTCCAGAAGTACAAGTCTAGAAGTTTCTGGACAGCACAGCATCAAGTACGAAGTTATAGACAAAGGCCCTGGCTGGAGGTGCCAGCTGTATAAGGTGGGTCAGTACCACGATAGAGGGAGCCTACTCACTGTGTGAAGATCTGTGGAGAGTGTTTCAATGGAAGGCTTCAGACTTTCTACCGCTTTCAGTCCATCCTGGAAAAAACTAGGGGGAAAAGAAGAAAAGAGATTATGCATCACAAAGGGGAGGATGACTCTGTTAGACAGAAAAAAGCTCTTTTTAAATGAAAGTGACTGAAGTTGGGATGTGAATTTTGGAGAAACAGAAACTTAGAATACCTGGCAAACCAAGAATAATATGACAAAATTAGAATAAGAAAGTAATTACAATAAGCCTAAGCATGTGTGATTTTTTTTTTGACCCACATAAAATGAGACCTGATTTTCCAGTTTATAAAGGGAAAGCAGATTCTCCTGATAGTGGTAACAAGGAATTTGAGGCCAAAAAGCCACGGGGTGCAAACAAGGGTACGTCACTAGACACTTCTCATGAAAAGGCAATAACTAAGTGGAAAAAAGTGCAGGGAAAACAAACAAACCAGGAACTTTGGCACCCATAAATAGCCAGTCTCCACCTGCAGAGTAGGAAAGCACAGTTAACTTTAAGGTCAAATATCAAAAGCAATCTCTTCCTAAAACTCACAACTCAGGGACTCAAGGTCACTTAAGACGAGAACTCAACAGAAACTGGATGAGACTTCCACAGTGAAGTCTTCCACACTGCCCCTGAAGTAGTATATCTTCATGACAGTCAACCTGACTGGATTTAGATCACCTAGGAGACACCCATCTGGGTGTGTCTGTGAGGGCATTTCTGTGAGGGCATTTCCAGAGAGGTTTAACTGAGCAGGGAAGAACCATCTGAATGTGGGGCACACCATCCCATGAGCTGGGGTCCCAGACTGAATAAAAAGAAAAACTCAACAGAATGCCAGCATCTCTCTCTGCTTCCTGTAGATATAATATAACCAGCTGCCTCACACCCCTACGAACTTCCCCTCTGTGATAGACTCAAACTGTGAGCTAAAATAAACTCTGCCTTGAGCTGCTTTTGTCAGTTATTTTATCACAGCAATGAGGTAAGTAATTAATACACCCTGTAGAGAGGAATAAGAAAAAGCGTTCCAGAGAGCCGAGGAGGAAATTCAAGCTGGTAACAAACCTGGACCACTATCAAGTCTTCCAGCCTCAGGTCCTTTGCACACACTTTTTCTGTTCTCTAAAGACCTCTACCTGTGATGTATTACCTTATCACACTTCCCATTTATTCAAGTTTGGAGATCAATACTCCTTCCTTATTGATGCCTTCCACAACTCTCCTCCGCATATTCTTTCCTCTGCTTCAAAAGTCTTCTCATAATTGCAACTATTGTCTTCATTAGTGTGACTACTTAACACATAATTCTCCCATTACATCCACTGTTCCAGTAGGAAGGGCATAAGACTTGGTACAGGATGAAAACCGGGGGGGGGGGGGTGTGTGTGTGTCCACGTAAACGTCTGTCATCCCACTGGACACCAAGGGGCTACTCTCCACTTGTTCTTAGCCAAAAGGCCAAGAAGCAATTAGGAGGCTACTCTCAAAAAAAAAAAAAAAAAAAAAAAGCTGGAGCGATGCCTCAATGGGTAAATGTGCTATACAAGCCTGACAACATGCATTTAATCCCTGAAACCCACGTAAAAAGTCAAATGTGGTAGTGTACATCTCTAATCCCAGTACTCCAATAGTGAGATGGGAGATGGAGACAGGGGAATTGGCTAGAAGCTCATACAGCGGCAGAAAGAAAGAGATACTGTGCTTCAACAAGGTAGAAGGAGAGACCCAACTCCCCAAAGTTTTCCTCTAACCTCCACATGCACACCATGGTATGTACATACACACACACACACACACACACACACACACACATTTTGGGGGAAAGTGACTTGGGTCTTGTCTCACATACATTCTTGTGGGGTTTTTTTTTTCCCCCTTTTTAAATTCATCAGTTGTCCTGTGGGACTCTCTAATATCAAATGTGCCACAAAGGGAAGAGTCATGAAAATAATACAGCCTGTTACTCAACTTAGTGATCTGGAGGAGGAAGAGAGACAGAACAAAGGAGTAGGCTATAGACACTGGCATCAAGGTAATAGGACACACTGATGCCAGACTGATAGTCTGTGTTCACCTCGTTCCTTAGATAAATGCATGGTAATTATACATCCTTGGTTCTGTGCTTTACTTGATTTTTTGTTTTCTGAATATAACACATGCTTCAGGAGCAGTAATTCAGTCAGTGTGTCATAGTGATCTGGCCAGGTGTTTGTGGTCACAGCCAGGGTGGAAATGGCCAAGTTCCCTGACTCTCTGGGCATCCTAAATTGACAAAGAAGTTTGGAAGAACTGCAGAATTACAGAAACAAAAAACTTGACTGTTCCTGTTGTGAACTCATGTGGGCCCTTTGTTTTATTTTCAGTTTTTCTTTATGTAATGATTTCCTTGATTACTCCAAATTCTGGTAAAGTAGACAGGTAGGAAGAGAAAGGAAAAAAGAACATGAGAGGCACCATGTGAGAACAGGGAAAAGTGGGTGAAGGCAGAGCCTGGGGAGGAACAGGTAGGTGCGCAAGGCTCAGTGCCTCTGTAGTCAGGCAATTCTCCCTGCAGTGCATGGAGAGAGCTGGGTAGAGTCAAGAGCTTCACTATGTGGCTCTCTTTCTCTCCTCCCTCCCTCCCTCCCTCCCTTTTGGAGACAGGGTCTCTCTGTATGCGCGCACACACACACACACACACACACACACACACACACCTACCTTCCTTCCAGTGTTGCCCTGGAGCGTGTACTCAAAGGAATGACATAAACTGAAGACATGGATTTCATCATTGTCACAACCCGGCCAATGTTACCCATCTACCTAGAATGCCTCCTCCCTCTGACTTTCAAATTCTCATCTGTACTCTCCTTATGGAAGCATGCCAGGCCTGGCACTACAGAGAGCCTCAAAGAAAAGGAGCTCAGGGGTGCTTCAATGGCTGCTGTCAGTCACTGTGACTCTAAGGTAAGTCCATTAACAATGTCTTAAGCTTTAGTCAAAGAAATTTTACCATCAGTATTACCAAATCAAACTCTGTTCTCTATTAAAGATTTCTAACGTGCCCAACCAGATTTTCAAACCTTTAAAATATAACCATTTAGATGCAATCTTCAGCACTCTTCTGGACCTCATTGCACCATGCCAAGCTCCTGAGCTCACACTCTACCTCTGTTGAAGGTCTGCCTGTAGCACCCACCCTTTCCTGGCATGAAAGCAAACTCCTCCAGGGCTCTGTTCCCAAGCCTCATCAATTCAACATCCCAAGTCCACTGAGTGGTAGCTAGCCACTGTGGCTCTCAACGTTAATGTGCTCAAAGCACAGGACAATTCAATACATACTTCCACCTCTTAGAAAGTGACCTTGTTACAGTTATTGTTTCAAAGGCTGCCCTACCTCAAAGTTCTATTATAGAAATGTGTCCTCCCTCTCCAGCAGTACAAGCTAAAAAGACAAATCTTCACCTGTTCCAGGGATTAAACAGACAAGCAAGCTCTATCTTTAAATGAAATAAAAGAACATGAAGCATTCTTCAAAATACTTCAAAAACAAACAAACAACAACAACCCCCCACACACACTGCAAAATATGAAAAGCCAAAAAATGACTAAAAAGCAAAATTAAGGGGCCAAACCAACTCCATGCCGGGGAGGCATGGTCAGGAGGCTGCCCCCGCCCCTCAAAGGGCAAAATTAAGGTGCACCAAAGTCATTCTAAGGAACACAGCTCCTTGGATCTGGGTGCTACATGGAGGCCTTGCACACTTAAAAAGGACAGCTGTGGGGAGGAAGCTGCTCTGCTGAGGACCAGGAAGCAAAAACGACTTCACAACACACAAGTGACCTCAGGTTCTCAGGGTCCCAAAGCCAAACCTCTACAGCTTCACATTTTATCTCCCAAATCTGAATTAAACAGAGCAGCCTGACTGACATTAGAGAGGGGGCATGCAGCATAGACACTGGCATGAGCACTCATCCAAGGAGGAAGTCGTGGAGAACTCATGTTTTAAAAGGTTACTGAGCTCATGTCCAAAAAAGGCCAACTAGTTCATTTTCCACAAGTAGTCTGTTGCTACCCAACTGATAGTTTGTGCAAAAGAAAAAGGAAATATTAGAATAGCTTCTTTCTAAAAATAAAATGTAAGCAAGGAAGCGACCCACTTCCTATACTAAGCAGTCAAGTTGTAGAGAGAGCTGAGCAGCTTATCTGCTATGCTACTCAGTCATCACTTCTGACAGAAAATTCACCTTGGAAATTCTACCAACTCCAGGCCTCCTTGCCTCTAGGGCACCCTCCCCAGCACACACTACATGTGACTTTAATTGCAGACAAGCATCTGAGCTCAACTGCAGAGAAACATTGAGTTACCACAGTTGTACTGTGAATCAACAGCTAGGCTCAATCAGGACGACCACACAAGTCCCTGTTGCACATACGCACTGGGTATATGCACCACACCCTGGAGATGGGAATACAGAGGATGCCAGCTAGGAGGCAGGCAGGGGGTGCTACAGAGGCACAGATGAGGAGTGATCCCTCAGGGCTGCATGAGCCAGGAGCTAGGAGAAGGCAGAGGGCATCTGATGACATTCCAGGAAAAGGCACAATGTATAGGCAGTCACACCAGCCTGAGGCATTACCCATTCATGGAAAGGAAAGCAGACAGGTGTGTCAATCTGACCTCTGAAGGATTTCTCAAACCACTCCACACCTTCCACTCCAACTGTGACCAGTTCAGCCATGCCATCCCAGACTGCACTAGAGCAGTGACTGTCCACGTCTACTCCTATCACTCATTTTCCTTGTTACAGCTTCCAGAAGCTGCTTCTAGTCCACACCGCTCCACTCAACATACTATTGGGCCTTTCGGCAACTCAGTTCAGTATCTGCTTGTGTCTACCCCAGTGGACCCTATGGTACATTGAGGGAAGAACTTGGTTTTCTGCTGTCTTGGAGCAGCAGAACCTCAAACAGGGCCTAACACACCATAGGAGCTCCATGTGAATGAATCCTCTGCTTAAACTGTACTGAACTGCCCCAACATATCTGGGATACAGTCTTAAGCTATGGACAAGACATCAAAGGCCACTCAGGTCTCTAAGGCTCTTCCACCCAGTTTTATTCCATGCTACTTTCCCCTTTACGAAGTTCGTGTCACCCCAGTCTTTTCTGTCTTCAGACCTGGACTCTGCCTGGAATGCCCTCCCCAGTCACCTGCTGGCTCCTTTTGTCCTCAAAGAGGCTTGCAATGAACCCCACAAGTATCTGAGCACCTCCCATGTGCCAGGCCTTATGTTCTGAGTATTACAGATCATAAAAGGGAACAGAGAGGAGAAAACTCTAAAACCTTACCCTAGATCTTTGTCTAAATTAAAATTTTCTGTTATATTCTCAATTAGATCCTTGTATTTCAGAACACTTTCACAAACATTCAATTCCTAGATTTGTCTCCCCAACTTATGCAAGAGTTTATCCCAGGACTTTGCATAGAGCCTGCCATTAGAACGTGCTTGATCCAAGTTTGTGGGTGGGTAAGTGAAGGAACCATGGATACACACTGATACCAGTGGCCAGGGGACAGGAGCCATGTGAAGGCTGGCATCTGGGGCAATGCTGAGTTCCCACTTGCACCCTCCTCGGCTCATGATCACTAACTTTATAGGGCCAGCAATATATGAAAGTAATTTCTTAATTTAATATACCAAATCAATACCATTTCATTTAACAGAGAAGAAAAAAAAACTCTGAGATCATGTCAGAGTCAAACAAGTTTGCCCTCTTAAAAAGATGAAAATTAGCCAGGAGTTGTAACCACACCTTTAATCCCAGCACTCAGGAAGCAGAAGCAGGTGGAGCTCTATGAGCTTGAGGACAGCCTGTTCTACACAGCAAGTTCCAGGCCACCTAGGGTTACAAGGAGACCTTGTCTCAAAACACAAAAAAAAAGAATAACAACAAAATAAAACAGAGCAAAAAATAAATGCATTTGGCTGTTAGTAGAGATTTTATTATAGCTTTTTTTTTTTGGTCTTTGTGAGACAGGGTCTCCCTGTAGCCCCAGCTGTCCTGAAACTCACTATGTAGACCAGGCTGGCCTTGAACTCACAGAGATCTGCCTGCCTCTGCCTCCCAAGTGCTGAGAATAAAGGTGTGCGCCACCACGCCCAGCCATATTTTTGTTTTTTTACTGAGAAACAGCTCTCAAGGTATAAAATCACTCTTTTGATGTGCAGGCTGCAGTAGATTTTAGTATGCTGACAAAACTATACAAGAACTAATTCCAGCATATTTTCCTTATCCCCCAAAGCAAGAGCTTATCCATTAATAGCCATTTCCATATTCTTCCTTCTCCCCAGTTGTGGCAACCGCAAATTTGCTTTCTGTCTCTGTAACATGCCTATCCCTGACTTCTCAGATGAACAGGAGCACCCAATGCATGGCCTTATGCATCTGTTTCCCTGCTCAGAATGTCCAAGGTACAGCTGTGTAGCACTTGAGCACTGCTTTCCTTCCAAAGTTCTTCCTTTTCTTTTCTTTTCTATAAATTTATTTTATATGTATGAGTGTATTGCCTGCATGTATGTGAGTGCACCATGTCATACAATGCCACAGAAGTCAGAAGAGGGCATCAGATTCCCCTGGAACTGGAGTTAAAGACGGTTCATAGCTGCCATGTGGGTGCTGGGAATCGAACCTGGGTCTTCTGCAAGAGCAATCACTACTCTTAACCGCCGAGCCATCTCTCCAGCCCCATTCTTCCTTTTCTTTCCCTGTTCCGCCCTCTTCTCTGTTGTTCTTCCCTTTCTCTCTACCTACCTCCCTCCCTCCCTCCCTCCCTTCCTTTCCTTTTGATAGGATCTCATATAGCTCAAGCTGGTCCTGAACTCATTGTGTAGCCAAGGATGATTTTGAACTTCTACAGCCTGAAGTACACTGGGATTACAGGTATGCAACACCACACCCAGTTTATATAGTGCTGGGGATCAAACCCAAGGCTCCCTGTGTGCTAGGCAAGCACTATATAAACTGAGCTACACCCTCAGCCCCTTCCCACAGTAATTTCTAAGTGAGTTTAGCTGCTATCCATGGAGGAGCATTTACAAAAGACACCAAAAAGGAGACTTACTTGCATTGTGCATGAAAATATTTAATCAGATTCTGGAGTAAATCCACTCCCTTCTTAATCTTGATTTCATTGACCTTCAGCAGATACTGTTGAGAGATAAGGAAGGAACCATCACAGAAATGAGCTTAACACAAGCTTCTGAAGACTGAGGGGTTTTTTCGTTTGTTTTTGTTTTAGTTTTTTTGAAACAGGGTCTCAAGTAGTCTAGGCTGGCCTGAAACTCCTTATGTAGTTGAGGATGACCTTGCATTTATGATCCTCTGGCTTTACCTCCCAATTGCTGGGATCACAGGAGTGTGCCACCATACCTGGTTTATGCAGTGTTGGTGATCAACCCCAGAGCCGTCTGCATGCTAGGCAAGCACTCTACCAACTGAGCTGTATTTCCTGCTCAAGACTGATTCTTTCTTCTACTTCTTTAGCATCTTTCACAAGTAGGGAGAGCTTGTGGAAGACACTGGTACCTTCTGCATGCATGAGTAAATGTTTCCTTTACTTGGGTGCCATTCCAATGACCTCTGGCCAGGTCATTCAGTCTTTAAGAACCAAGGATTCATATTAACTACACAGTCTACCTTACCTGGCCAGGATAAGCTGGTTACATGTTAGAATGATGATGGCTGGAGTGAATGGGAGTTCTTGGATCTTGGATCTTCCTGCAAACACGCTCCCGTCCAGGGCCCCTTTCTTCATTCGGGCACTGTCCACAACTCTAACTTCTAGATTTTTGTAGCTGAGACCTTGTTAACATGTTGCTAACCCCAAGGCAACTCCCCTAAATATGAGTGCTAAAATGGCAAATTTTAAATTGAATTGTGTCAAAATCATTTTGAACTTTGAGAATTCATTAAGGACCACTTAGTAGGAAGCCTCAGCATTAAGAAATGCATTTGTTCCTTCCTAAAGGTGTATAGAACAATAGCTCCACAAATCCCCTTCCGCCTCACTGTTAGGTGGCGGTAAAAGGACCCTATAAGCACATCTCATCTCCAAGAGGATGAGATGTCCTTGGAAAACCTCAGTTGAGCCCCACGCATTCCCACTTGTCTCACAGGGCTAAGTCCATGTCAACGTACTTCCCCAGATCAGCTGTGCAACCCTAAGGAGACAGAAGCTGCCCCGAAACCGAAACAACAAATTTCCTTTGCTCTGTATGAACTGCCTGTGTATCCTCTTTTCCTTCCTTTTTGATGGTTATTCACTGTTAATTGGATGTCTGGCGACGGACCAAAATGATACAATCTTTAATAAAATGCTTGGCAATGGATCAAAACTTAAAATGTGTGTACTCTTTGACCCAGAAATTCTACTTACCGGAACTTGTTCTAAGAGGTAATCAGAAAAGTTTACAGAGATGAATAGGAATGAAGGTTCATGACAACTTTGTTTGAAATAGTGCCCTGTTTCAAGAAGACTGTAACAACTGCCACTGAACCAGGGGCTCCATGAGCAGAGCCCTGAACAGCAGACTCCAAGCAGAAGGGAGGCCATTTTCACATACCCACAGCAAGGCACAAAAACACAAAGGCCTTCGTGTTCCCATGGTGTCTGATCTTGATAAAGGCTTCTGGAGTCTGCCCCCTGCATTTGCCCTTCTCCAAGGCACAGGCCAAGGTTACAGGAAGCAAGGGCCCCAGGGTACCGACTCCTAGCGATTGATGTCTGGGAGGGAGCCTGTCCCTGGACACAGAGGGCACAGCGGAGTGCCATCAATGTTTTCTGGCTGATTCTTCATCCCTCCCCCTCACTGACTACATGAGTAAAGAGGGAATCTTAAAAACACCTAAGGAATATTCTAGCTAACTCCTTTGAGAAAAAACAGTTTGAGAAAGTACAGAGGCCGCCATAAGGAACATTCCTTAAGCTATTATTTATATATGTATATTATATATTATATTTTTATTCATTTTGTTTGTGTCTGTATGCATTTATGCAGCTGCACACAGAAGTCAGAAGAGGGCATTAGATTCCTTGGAGCTAGAGTTACAGGTGCTGTGGGCAGCTTCTCTTGGGTGCTGAGATATGAACTCAGGTCTTCATGGTCTACTAAGCCATCCTTCAGGCCCTCTCTTCTACTTTTAATCAAAGGTTGGTATTAGACTGACCTAAACCTATGCTTGTGGGGAGGTCCCTGTCCATGGCCTAAGCTGCATGTGTGCAGCCTGGACCTCACCTTTCACAGCATCTTACCTCACACATCTGGAGCTGGAAGAACCGTCTCTCCTTTTCCATCTCCTCTGCGATTTCGGCCCCACTTATTTCAGTACGAATCATCCCATGGAGCTTGGCGTGTTCCTTTTTCTCCTTTTCTATTTTGGTTCTACATGAGAAGAAAAGAAGAGATAAATCAAGAGGCCCCTTGGTGTAGTGTTCCAAACTGGACAGCCTCAGAATCACCTTGTTTCATAGTTTGCTGAGACAACCACTCATCACACACTTCAGAACAGGCAGGCTCTTAACTCTCGAAAAGAAACTGTCATAAAAGTATGCCAAACTCGGCCTTCCCTTACCTTCTCAACAGATGGCCTAAGCACCTGCTAGGTCAGCTCTGGGTCAGGATATAGAAGGCCCACACATACCTACTGTTTGTTCACCAACCTCTTTCCTGAGCCTTCCACCAACACACTCTACAAGCCTCACTTAGTGGAGTCACAAGGTTCCCCTGTTGTCCCCTCTTTACAGAGTTCCTTGCTACAGATCACACTGCTCATCCCTTCTGCTTTCATGCCCCTTTCCAAGGTGACTTTATGCTGAGCTATATTACCTAAACATGTGCAGTTCAGGTATGAACTGAACAGATGGGCACACACCCAGAAGAACCAAGGGGGAAAGGAGTCACAGAGCCACATCAGCCAGAGGGAGCTGGAAGTCACTGTGGATTTCACACTGGAGAGGAGATACAGAAAGCCAACAGAATGTACTGGATCTAAAATTGGCTGCCACAAAGGCCAGCATGGTACCTCCTGCTATACCTCAGGGGCAATTGGAAACGCAAGATGATATTTTCTTTAAAATTCATCAACAGGCTACTTAAGTGTTCTCCATCATGAGGAATAAGTGAGTACGAGAGAGAGAGAGAGAGAGAGAGAGAGAGAGAGAGAGAGAGAGGAGAGTGTGTGTGTGTGCACACGTGTTTAAGAAGAGACAAAGACATAACCTCTTTGTCTTTGGGCTTGGCACTTAGGGTAAACGCACAATCTGAAGAAGAAACAAAAATGTAAACAAACGGCCATTTGGCAGGAACCCCATTCAGCGAATTCAGGCAGCTACAAGGAGGGTACTATGGCCCCTGGACTTACAACTCTAAGGTTACTGGCCATATCTCTAAATACTCAGTAGGACCACTGCTCAGGAATTCTGAAGACATCTCAAACCTAGTTATTTATCTTGGGATAAAAGAAACCTCCTGTGTGAGTGGGTAAAGAATTGTTTCCTATATTTATCTTTAATTTACTTCAAGGTGCTGCTCCTTCTTCAGATTCTGGGTTTCTGTCCCTATCCTATCCAGGTGCAGCTTAATCTTACAGAATGTGATGCTGTCTCTCTTTACAACCAGAGCATCTCTCTACCTGATCCAACTACCCAGAGAAGTACCTCTTTGCAAGTTCAGTGAGGGTGGGGAAAACATGACCACAAACAGAAACAGCTGGAAAGAAGTCAGTCAATCTACCTCCTGGCCCCAGATCCAGAGCCCCTTGTTGGGTAAGCAGCAGCCCCAGAGTCTTGGTTCCCAGCTGTGAAGCAGGAATGTTGATCCCTGCATATGTCACTGAACTAGTCACAGATAAGAGATACTAAAGGGACGGATAACGGCTGGGGCCTTTCTGGGCTAAAAGATATTCCAAGTCCCTTGGTTTAATGCCACCCCTGCCAAGCATATGAGTGGATGTCACTACTGAACTGGGGATACCAGGCAACTTCCAGATGGAAATGAAACCTTTTCATGGGTAGAACCAGTGTCAAAGGTGTGTTAGTCATATTAACTGAAGAAATCCAAAGATGGCTTTTTTAAAAAAACTCCCAATTACAGGTTGGAGAGATTGTTTAGTGGTTTAAGAGCACTTGCTGCTCTTACAAAAGACCAGGAATTGATTCCCAGCCCACATGATAACTCACACCCATCTGTAATTCCAGTTCCAGAGGATCCAACACCCTCTTCTGGCCTCCACAGGCACTATACACATGAGGTACACATATGTAATATGCAAACAAAATACACCATTCAGTATGTCTCTATTCTCCCTGGCACAGGGATTACAAAGTAAATATAAAAATATTTTTTAATATATTTTTAAAAAAAATTAAAAAATATTGTTTCTTCAGTTTTTAAAATATTTAAAACCCTTATTCTTCAAAATCACTAGCTCTATTCTAGCTGGTCTGAATCTTCCTGCTTTGGGAATGAGAAACTGATGAGAAATGTTAACAACCACCTGCAGCCAGCTGCAGCCAGCAGAGCTAACTGCCATGACTGGTCTTCAGTAGAGATTGTGTACCTGCTATGAGTCACAGAGCCCCCATCTTTTATATTCTTTTCTTTTAATTAAGTCATACAATTTTTTTTTATTGAGTCACATTTAAAAGTACTGTAATAATTTAACCATTCTTTCTTTTTAAAAAACATTTTGTGGGGATAGAGAGATGGCTCAGCAGTTAAGAACACTGACTGTTCTTGCAGAAGACCTGGGTTTGAATACCAGCACCCACATGGCAGCTAACAACTGTCTGTAACTCCAGTTCCAGGGGATCTGCCAGCCTCTCTGTCTTCTGCGGGCATTGCACGACATGGGTGCACTTACCTACATGCAGGCATAACACTCATACACATAAGATAAAAATAATGAAACATCAAAAAAAAGTGTATATCCTTTGCTAAGGTTAAAAAAAAAAAATCAGCTGAGTGTGGTGGTGCACGCCTTTAATCCCAGCACTTGGGAGGCAGAGGCAGGTGGATTTCTGTGAGTTTGAGGCCAGCTTGGTCTACATAGTGAGTTCTAGGCCAGCTAGGATTAAAGACACCCCCGCCCCCCCGCAAAGAACCAAGTAGAGTGAAGGCACTAGGGCTTGCAGACTCTTCCTAATATCAAAATGGCTGGTATTTCAAAGAAACAAAGACCTAAGGCTAAAAGCAGATTAAAAAAAAAAAAAAAAAATCTGTGTGTGCGCGTGCACGTGTGTGTGTGGGGGGGGGCGGGGAGTGTTCATGTTTGTAACTGAGGGTATACATGTATCCTGGATACATGTGGAGGTCAGAGGACAACCTCAGGTGCTGGTCTTTGCTTTCTATCTTGAGACAGGGTCTCATTTGCTATTGTATACCCAAGGCAAGCTGGCCCACAAGCTTCCAGAAATTCTCTGTCTCCACCTCTCATCCCACCATAGGGGCACTGGGCCTTTTTATGTGGGTTCTGGCAATTCAAACTCAGGTCTTCACACTTGCACAGCAGGTGCTTTACTTACTGAGCCATCTTCCCACCTCTATATGTTTCTTGTTTTGTTTTGGTTTTTTTTCTTCTTCAAATTATGAACCACCAGAAGTAAAGTGTAAAAAGCCACGTTGCCGACATAAACAGTAGTAAAATGGAGAAAATGCTTAAAAACAATAAAGGGAAATGTCTCCTGAGAGAAACTGACCTAAATTTCCTCAGTGAGCTTTCCAGAACATCACATTCTATAACCATCAGGACACCACAGAAAATGGACAAGGGGCTCCCTGGAAGAAGTCACCCTCCTTAGAACACAGACACGAGGTACAGAGGCGCCTGTCATCACAGTGAGCCGGGACAATATAACTTTAAGTAAATTCTTTCCTGGATTCAGATTTAGTCAGACAATCCATTCAAACAATAAAAGCTTGATTTAAAACTAAAACCTCAAATTACCTACACATACTTTAAAAAATGAAAACACTCACATTTTTGTTTCATAGTCCTTCCAAGCTTTATCAAAGGGCTTTTTCAGATCCTGTAAACAGAGAGGCAGCAATTAAGTAGGACTAATCATTAACTTCAGTGCAAGACAAACATCCTTATGGCCCAACCAATCCTGACACTGCATTAATTTCTAAAAGAAATCATGTGTGGAACCTTATTTAAAAAAAAAAAAAAAAGAATCAGAGAAATGCTTTTAATAAACTAGGGTTGGGGTGGCCAGCCTTCTTTTTTCTTCTTTCCCCTTTACTTCCTTTTTTCCTTCTTTCCTTCCTTCCTAGTCTCATTTATAAGGAGAATTACAGACTATATAGCACACACTCCAAAGCAGGCCATATTACATGGCTTTCATCCAGTCTCAATGTCCCTGGCCCACCTTCTCACCTCCACTGTACTTCGTGCTCTGCACTTATCCTAAAATTAAATAAAAAAAATATAAACCTGAAAATATAGCTGGGCTTGGCACACCTTTTAATACCAGCACTCAGGAGGCAAAAGCAGATGGATCACTGTGAGTTCAAGGCCAGCCTGGTCTACATAGCCAGTTCCAGGTCAGCCAGGGCTGCATAGTAAGATCTTGTTTTTTTTTTAAAAAAAGGAAGAAGGAAGAAGGAAGAAGGAAGAAGGAAGAAGGAAGAAGGAAGAAGGAGAAGGAGAAGGAGAAGGAGAAGGAGAAGAAGAAGAAGAAGAAGAAGAAGAGGAAGAAGAAGAAGAAGAAGAGGAGTAGTATGACTTTCCCTTAGGAAGACTGTCTATGCTAGGACCTTGGTATGCTTAGTCTCCAAGCTGGCTCATTCTTCCCCTCTGTATTATACTGCAGACCCTGTAAATCAGACTATGAAGAGCTGGGGTTGTGGCTCACAGTAGAGCCGTAGACCTAGCACTAGCTCACACACCGCCCAACAAACCAAAAACTCTCCATACTATCCATTTGCCAAGCTTGCAGCAGCAGAAGAGTTACCACTGTCCCAGCAAAAGGTAATATCAAAATGCTAAATTAAAGGAAACAAATCCAAAGGACATGCTGTGGTAAGAATGTGGTGTGGTGGCTGCCCCAATGGCCAGCACTGCTCTGACTCCCACGCAGAGTGGTCATGTGACCAAGACCCAAGTCCTACCCCTTTTACTCCTTTCAGGTCTCCTTTCAGCAAACTGTCCAAAGGGAAGGATATTATGTTGTTCATGTTCTGAATCTAAAAAGAAAACAAAACAGGAAAAAATATTCTTAATTTCCTTTATAATCTAAAGCAAGGATAACACCAATATTAAGACATCTGGTAATTTACCTTCACACAAAACCTGGCCAGCACAGTGTGATAGCCTTATCCACACCCACTTTATTTCACAAGTGAACATATATATCTAATGAAAGGCCTAGATCTGTATGTTAAGCTTCTATTCTTACACTGTGAAAAGACAGTCATTACAAGGAATAAAACCTGTCTGAAAATAGTCAATGAGACGATCAGCCAGTCACAGAGCCTAGAATAAAAGGGCACAACTCACTTCCTATTGACACAGCTGCGGGCCCACTAGGGGCTATGTGTGTGTGTGGGGGGGCATCCCAGGCAGCATGCTCCCAACATGGAGTGGAGAGGAAAGCAGATCCAGGGGCTTCGGTCTGCTGGGAAAGCATGTGAGTGAATGCTGAGGGTGATGTGAGGGTGATAAGAGAAGAAATGGGGGGAGAGGGAGAGAGTAAGGGGTGGGTGTGAATGGGTGTCAGAGTGAAGGAGGGGCTGTAGTCAGTGAGTGTATGTGGGGGGATGCAAGTTGAGTATAGTGTTTCTGAGTGTCTGGATGAGTGTGTATCTGCAGCTGGAAAGAGGAGACAGCTGAGAAGTTAGGGTAGGAGTCAGGGAGTCCCTTGTCCTCCCTGAAGAAGAAGCCAAAGATGCCAACTTGAATTGTTATCACGGAATAAATCTTGTGAAATCAAAGCCTCCTGACACACTCAGTACACACCAGGGGCAAGCAAGGCTGGTCCACTGACAGCTCCAAGTGAGTGCTGTATGAACTGCAAAGTTCTAGCCTGGAATCACAGGCCTAAGTCCTGAGCCCCCAGTTGCCCTCCCCACATAGAAAATGAGATTGAGACCTGCTTCTTCCCTTTCTGGGCTCAGCCCACCCCATGCCATTAGCACAACTGACCGGCCATGCCAGTAGGGCTGCCCTCAACCACATTACAGGAATAGGTCGAAGAAGACAGGAAGGACTTTGTAACTTCTGCATTCATTCTCAAAATTCAGCAAAGGAAATTTAACTTATATTCTCCTTCAATAGAAAGATAAAATATAGATACCATTTTTAAAGATAATTTGGAGGGGGCTAGAAAGATGACTTAGCGGTTAATAGCACTGTCTGCTCTTGCAGAGGATCCAGGTTCAATTCTCAGCACCCACATGGAAGCTAATAACCATCCATAACTCCAGTTCCAGGGGAATCTGATGCCCTCTTCTAACCTCCAATATATGGGTGTCATGCACGACATGGGTGCACTTACATACATGTAGGCATACACTCACACACAAGAAGTAGAAATTAATAATTAAAAAGAAAAGACAGTTTGGAATGGGATTACCAGATACTTTCCAACACAGAAAATTTTTATTTTATTTCATGTAAATGTATGTGTATGTGGGTATACCCATGTCATGGCACCTGTATGGAGGTCAGAGACAACTTGCAGGAGTCAGTTCTCTCCTTCCACCATGTACGTACACCACAGGAATTAAACTCAGGTCCTCACAGCCTTGGTGGCAGGAACCTTCACCCTCTGAGCCATCTAGCCAGTCCACAGCCTTGGTGGCAGGAACCTTCACCCTCTGAGCCATCTAGCCAGCCCTCAGCACATGAAATTTTCAAGTGAGGTAAGAGCTCACTTGAAAAATACTGCCAAGGTACTCAATAATGCCTGCACCAACAACCATACTGCCAAATGAAAGCTCCATTAACAACTATCATTTCCAAAATGATTTTTTAAGTAACTGTTGCCTTAGTTCTAAGCAACTCAACATTGGTCACAGACCTGGCATTGGTCCCAGGCACACTGTGACCTGCTGTAACTTGTGAAGATTAACCATAACAGATAAACTTTTAAATACTAAAAAGTTCCATCTGAGATGAGGTCTGTGGGTGACAATGACAAACAAATCTGTGCCAATGATTAATCTCTGAGAGCAAGCACACCTGGATTTCCATTGTGAACTGGCATGAAGGCCTCACCCATCCCTGCACCCACAAGGCAAAGGACCAAGGCAGACACCCTACGCTGCTCCTGGCTGCACAGTCATCCTTGCTCCTGTTACCATTCCCCACTATCTGCTGCTTCACCAACCAGTGGTCCCTGACACCTCTCTGCTCTCTACCACACAGCCACACTAAGCCAAGTCTTCTCCACATCCCAGGCACTTATATACCCTTACCTGCCATACCCACATCTAGGCCTTCCCAGACCTGAATGTTTCTCTGCCCGACTGATGTATAGTATCCCCTGTGCCCTGCTACAGACTGCTAGTTCCTGAGCTGCCCCATCCCCTCTTTCAGTCTTGCCAGACTTACATAGAGCCATGTTGTTAACAGATACCAAACTGCTTATTCCCACATTAGGGGACTAGGGGGCATTAGGAGATCTGCTCTCCAATGCATCTGCTCTGCTCCTTTCATCTCCCCATTCGGCTACTAAATCAGGCCAGCCTGGTCTAAATAGTGAGTTTCCAGCCAACTGGGGCTACAGAGAGGCCTTCCTTATCTCAAAAAAAAAAAAATTTTTTTTTTTTTGTGGTATAGATAGATTTATGAAGGAAGGGGTAGGCAAAGTCTGGCAGGGAACAGCAGAGACGGGCGAGCAACTGTGGAAACTGTGCTTCCCAGCTGGTCCTCCCTCTGTCCCCTGACTGAAATGCCCTCTCTAATCCTTACTGTCCACAGCCTCTGAACTCCCAGCAATTCAAATACCAAGTAGTAGCCTGGTTCCCCAGCAGGAAGTGACCTTCCCTTCCCTAACTCCCTCAATACACTCCACTTCTCTTCCCTAACTCCCTCAATACACTCCACTTCTCTTCCCTAACTCCCTCAATACACTCCACTTCTCTTCCCTAACTCCCTCAATACACTCCACTTCTCTTCCCTAACTCCCTCAATAACGAACTCAAAAAACAGAGAATCAAGACAAGAAGTAACCCAATTAAAAGATGGACTAACTCCCTCAATACACTCCTTTTTCTTCTAGCACTTAGAAGGCCCTGGTACCATCTGTTTTACATGGTATGGTCTAGAAAATAGCACTCCAATGTACCTATCATGTGTCCCCAGCATGGGGCATAGCCTGAGAATGACTCAGAACAGTACTGGTAGTATGAATCAATGTACTGCTGCCTTTAAATACAACAGAGCCTGATATGGTGACATATGCCTAGAACCCCAGAACTCTAGAGGTTGAAGCAGCAGGGTCCTGAGTTCAAAGCTAGCCTGAGCTATTTAGTAAGACCCTGCCTCAAAATAACAAATAGCAACAAGTTAAATCAAGTATAATACAGCAAATGTGTATGAATTCATCAATCTACTTAGCAGTTATGGAGTCTATTTTGTAAACAACTGGCTAAGAGAATAAATAAAACATATGATGCATAATAACATACATACACACCAAGAATTATAAAATCTAGGACAGGGAATGTAGCTCAGTTGGTAGAACACAAGCCTAGCAAATACAAAGCCCTGGGTTCAATTTCCAGCATGGCATAAACCACGCATGGTACAGCACATCTACAATTCTAGCATTCAGGAGGTAAAAGCGAGAGGATCAAGAGTTCAGGGTCATCCTCTGAAAAGTTCAAGGCTAGCCTGTTATATATGAGATCCTATAAAATAATAATAATAATAATAATAATAATAATAATAATAATGAGAAGGAGGAGGAGCAGCAGCAGCAGCCGCCACCGCCACCACAGGGCATGATAGCACATGCCTTTAATCCCAGAACTCAGGAGGCAGAGGCCAGCCTGATCTACATAGTGAGTTTCCAGCCAACGGGGCTACAGGGAGACCTTTCTTATCTCAAAAAAAAAAAAAAAAAAAAAAAAAAAAAAATTGGTACAGATAGATTTATGAAGGAAGGGGTAGGCAAAGTCTGGCAGGGAACAGCAGAGAAGGGCGAGCAACTGTGGAAACCCGCACACTGGGCTGGTGCGCTTTCATCTTCACCCATTTAAGCTTTGAGTATGACAGTCTTAAGCTACACACTGTGGACAGGGCACACAGTTCCCTGTGAAAGAACATCTGATAGCCAAAGACAAGTGAGAAGAATGGTACACAGGAGGTGCACACGGCCCCAGGACATAGCACGTAACGAAACAGGAGACAGAGTGGTCAAGAGATGACAATTTAGAACACAGCTGCCAGGAACTCACAGTTTAGCAGGGAGGATAAACTGCCTGTAAACTTGAATGGAGACTCCATGCACCATAAGGAAAGCACCAGGGATTTCTAAGAGAGTCATTTTTATTCTGGAAACTAGGGAAATTTTGGTTGAGCATGGCATGTGAAACGGACCTTCCAAACACAGGGGAGAATTCTGGCTTTTGTGGGGATGGATGGCACAGCACCCAGGCAAAGGAAAGGAGAATGTGGAGGGTGGGCACTGATGAAGGTCAAAGCAGCCACGTTAGCAGAGGGGGCAGTGGAGACCACTGCTGAAAAGGGAAGCAGATGCCATGCTTCATTCACAAGGTTTTCTCTTTGGAGTTAGACAAATTAACTGAAATAGTAAACTATTGTTTTTTGAATCAAAATTAAGTTCAGTAATAGAGGCTGAAAGTAAATCAGTGGTCACCTGGAGCTGGGGAGATGGGATTAACTGTTAGAGCATGTAAGGGGTGTGACAGGGGAGTCCTAGAACTGAAGCATGGCAAGAGGCACACTTCTAGGGACGGTTCCAAACAGCACTGACTCATTTATATGAGCAGGTTTTATGATATGGAAAGCATACCTCAGAAAAGCTGTTTATGCAGCTTGTTTAAAGGAACAAATAAAAACAGAACCTCCATCAGTGGTTCACTAAGTCCTCCTTGCTCCCACATGAGCCTGTTTGCCTCTGCATTTCCACACACGTGTGTAAGGCAGCAGAACCACTCTAGGTTTCTGCTCCTCTACTCTGCCTGACCAGAAAACAGATGTGAGGGAGAGAGTTATC